GACAACTAAATTTTGCAATTAAGTCTCATACTGCAAAAGAAACTGTCAACTAGTAAACATCCTAAAAGGACTCAAATTAATGGATGATGCATTTTATTAAATTAGCAGCCCAAATCTGCATGCCAGCAAAAGCTCCTAGCTTCTGATTACCTCCGGGAACAAAGACTAGAGCATGCTTATAAATAGTGGCAGTGGGCTTAGCATATGTTACCTTCTTTCCTAGATAAATATTAATTAGACAGGCAGAAGAAGCAGATCTCTAATAGGAAGAAATCTTTGTAGCTCCCGTTAAATCAATATTGACATGATAATTTCACAAAAAAAAAAAAAGATTTGATTCCTAATTTTCAGCAGTTTTACTTCTTTGCAGTGATTCACTGCATTGCACAAGTTTCCATCAAGCTTTCTGCATTAGTAGCTTGTTGCTTTAAAATGTCTGCAGACTTTTTTTTTTTTAACACAAAACTCAGTGTTTTATTTCTGAAAACTTGATATTTAAGACCCCTTTGAAATAATCTCTGGATCCTGAAAGGAGACCTTTAGAGATTCCAGCCTCTAAATCAGACAGAAAGACTGGAACATACTAAAGTGGGACAGTGCTTTAAAACTGATATAGGTCCGTATCTGAAAGCAGAGAATTTATCTCCTGACAGATCTGAGCAGATAAGAAAATTAGACCTTTTTTCATCTGAATCCCTACAAAGCATAAATGCATTGTACTTTCCCTTAATGCTGAACAGGTGCTAAAGGTTATGCCATTGACTTTTATTCCTAGACAGCTGTACCTTTATGTCATACTGTCATGGCTATTTTCCACAGATCATTCCCCAATGGATATGAATGAATTTTATAGCAGGTTATAATCCACCCATAGTATAGCAGATAGGTAAAAATCCCTTCAGGTATATAACAGGAGACAGTTTGAACTGGAGGGATGATCACTGAGCCAGATCCTCTGGCACCAAAACAGGCTTTTGCACTGATTTTAGTGTGAATTAGAGGCTCCAGCAGCCTCAGACTGAAACCACATCCCTTTTAACACTAGCAGTCAATTCTTCTGATTTGTCACAAAGCAGGAGAATTATGGCCAGTGTTCAAGGAGAGGAGATAGGGCAGAATTGAAGTGGTTTCCTGTACAGTATCTCCAGGAACATAGTTAAAAATCAAATTCCTTGTAGATGAATGAGGAACAGACACCAACTCAACTTCTACCTCCATGAACTGAAATGTGTGAGGATCAGTGCAATGAATGGAGATTAACTGCTAGAGACACTGTAAGGGAGGACTGGAGGAGTTGTTTTTGCTTGACCTCAGTTGCCTACTCAAGGTAATTGAATGATCTTTGGAGGGCATCTGAGTGCATTTTTCAGCAACTGTGCCTGACCAGTATGGGTTGAGAAATTCAGTGCGTATTTATGCCTCCTGAGCCCATGTGCTTGCTTCTTTGTCTGGATCCTTAGAGTAAAAATCAAAACTAGGCCCAGCTGCTCCTTATAATTAAATTTCAGTAACTCAAGCTGAATGATTTTGACTAGTGACTTAAAAGTGATGGCATTTAAATGGTCTTAACTGTATTTCAAAGTTAACACTGAGAAACTTCACACAGACTTTAGTGCTATTTGCCTGTTGGCAAACTCAACAAAATACCACTGTGTTGATTCACATAGCAAAGGTTATCTTTGCTAACAGAAGGACTCAGAATTTCATTATTTTAAATACGAGTATGAATCTCATCACAGTGCAGGAGGCTACAGATGCCATTACACACACCTTACCAACTAAGTCAAGAGCAGACGTGAAGTTTATATTGTGCACTTAGCTCCATGTTCAAATATACCTAAAATACAAGAGCCAAAACCCACACGACATTGTCTGTGGCCAGGACAGATCTGACTGTACAATGAGGACTTTTCTGCACTTAGGTTTGTTTCTATGTGTCTGTCTTCTCCCTGTAATTTATTTATGAGATATTTACGCCATGCATGGGCAGTCTGTGAAGCAATAAACCAATAATAGTCTCAGTTTTCATTGCAGTTTCTATATTTGTGTATTTTAGTACATCAGAATCTGGATATAAGAAGTATTAGCAGTCTTATGGCAGCAGAAAGAAATTAATTTTATGCCTGCCTCTGCACAGAAGCCAAAAGCTTCAGGAAATAAGATCTCTTCTCATAAGCATCTTTTCAGATCCAGTTAGGAGAGGAGAAAATAAACAATGAAATGCAAGCTTCTGGGCGACAGCCCAGCAGTGAGATATAATCGTTCATGTGACAATACATATGATACACAATACGTGTCTGACTGGCACTCCAAGACTCCAGTACTTATTGATGATCCAGGTAGAATCTGGTGCTTTCTTCAAGCCTTGGCCCTTGGGAGTCCAGTTGTGACAGGGGACTATGTGCAGCCTAGCAGAGCAGCGGGGAAGAGCAGTCTTCTAAAGCCTGAGCACCCCTTGTTGTGACACAAATCCTTGGAAGCAGCATGCACAGCCTGAAGGAAGCAGCAGTTCTAGTGCCTGGGTGAGGACATGTTTTTTGCATGCCCCTCCAGCAGTGACGTGCAGCACCATGACACGGACCGCTGTTATGAAGCTGGCTTTACTCTCTTCCTGCAGCTCTTCATAACCCAAGTCTGAAGCCTCAGAGAGAAGCAAGGGGAATACTTACTGAGCCTGCCCAGGAAGACCAGGTGGTCCTTATGGGAAGTCAGATGAGCTGAGGTCACCACAGCAAGACCTGTCACACTGGGTGAACATTTTGCTGACGACTCGCAGCAGTGCTACAGAAATGAGTGAGAAACCAGCAAGCACAATGGAAGAAAGCAAATGAGGGAGGAAAAAAATCATCTTCTTGGCAAGACAACGAGGGAAGCAATGAACAATAATTACTGATGAATAATGACCCAGAATTAATGGAGAAGGGCAACAGCAAAAGCTGTGCACAGAACACAAATATTTTAGAATGAGGATAAACAGTGACATTAGTAGGGTGGCCAGAACTCATTACCCATTCACATAACACTTGTCTACACTATACACTGTGGCTGATGGCAGTGGCTAGGTCTAGAACATTGCCCTTGGAGGCTCTATAATTTTATCAGAAGAGCGTTTGCACAAGAGGCAAGCTGTTCCAAAACTGAATGAAGGGCTATGTTTTCCTCTTGTTATTATTGGTATTTTAAATTTAAATTCCTTTCAGATATGTAGTCCTATTTGGGAAGAATGGTGAGCTACAGAGGCTTGAGGGCAGTTGCCAACTAAAGCAAAACTAAATTAAGCCAGAAATGCTGAGCAGAAGTGAAAGCAATATCACACTGTATTAGAAGCCAGGATTATAAAATCTCTGCCCATCAAAGAGTTCAGAAGACTGAAGACAGCTCTGTATTATTGTTTTTAATGCAGTAAAGTCTAGAGACTCCAACCAATTACCAGGCACCAAAAGGAGGTGGTGCTTTCTTGAACACAAGGAGGCACCACAAAATAAAAACATGGAAACAGACCAAACCCTATCTCTATGCCCTTTTGGGAAAACAGAAAGACACATTGACATTTTGTCTTCCTGTCAGTTCTGTGAATGTAAACGTAGGCAAACCTTGACCGCCACACTTCCTTTAATCCCATCTTCCCCCACCTCATTTCTTGAGAGTCTAACTAAAGATCTGGGACAGATTTTACAAAATCTCAAGCACCACCACTGTTTGTGGTTTGTTTGGTTTTTTTGCACAGTGGTTTCTCACTCTGTCCATGAGCTCGATGTCCCAGGCAGAACACTGCAGTGCCTGCCCCTGTGTGGTGCTGAGCGTAGCCCAGGAAGGACGGGGCCACACGGAAACTGACGGCTTTCTCATCACAGAGGAAAACAGCCAGGAGAAGACCAAGAGGGAACTGCTGAGAATTTACAGGGAATTTAGACATGGAGATGTGCGTGGAGATGTGCACAAACATCCTCGCAGACTGAAAACGCTTGTCTCAACTTAATTTGTCGTGGTATTTCAGGAGATTTCGTGGTGCTGGAGCATAGGCATTTCACCGAGCTTGGAATTATCCTGACCCAGCAAAAAGCAAGCTCGCACTCCCTCTGTGTGCAAAACTTTCCTGCGGCTGCTGAGAACAAACGCTGGCAGGAGCTGCGGGACCTGGACAAACGTGTGCTCCCGCTGCTCCTGTCCCCGCCTGCCGAGCAATGGAGGAGCCTGTGGAGCACATCAAGGCTGCTCAAGCGCGGGCGTGCCCCTCCATGCGCGCCAGAAAAACAAAGGAAAAAAAAATATAAAAGAGAAAAACGGATTAGAAAGCCTAAGCTCAGAAGACACGGGATTACTAGAAGTGTAAAGCAGGCGATGTGATCCGGTGGGCCGCGCACCTCTACTGCAGCGGGGCTTGCGGCGCTCAGGGCGGGCGGTCCCGAAGTGCCGGCCCGCTCCGGCAGCGCCCCTGTCCCGCACCATCTCGCTCGCCCCGGCCCTTCGTGCACGGCCAGCTCCGGCACCGAGCGGCACTTGTAACGCCGCCGAGGGACGTGCCGGAGAGCAGTATACCCCGGCCCCACCGGGCTCCCTTGGGAGCCTGGCATCGCCCAGCCCCACGGCGTAGCGGGCACGGTGCAAGATAAGATGGGAACAACGGCAGGACCAAGCAGCTCCCGCATCCGCCCGTGCTGTGGCATCCCTCGTCGGGCTGGAAGAGGAGGGGCTGCTCCTCGCCTGGGAGGGGGACGAGCTCGGGCTCCTCCCGACGCCTGCAGGGGCCGGGGCGGGGGGCCGGCGGTGGGGCGGTGCGCGGGGTCGGAGCGGGCTGAGCCCCCCCGTCGGGCGGCTCGTGGGTGCCGGAGGGAGGGCCAAGGGAGGCGGCGGCGGCGGCTCCTCCTCCGCGGGCAGGCGGGCGGGCAGCCCGCCCGACAGCGGCACCGGTTGCTCGGTGCCGGCGGAGCCGCGCCGCCCGCTATATAAGGGGCGGCGGCTGCTCGCTGCTCACTCACACCGGCTCCTGCCCGCAGCTGCCAGGGCTGGGCGGAGGCCGCGCCTCGACAGCATGGCCCGCGGCGGGGCGCAATGGGAGGTGGTCTCTCCCCCTGCCTCCCGCGGACCCTCTTCTTCCTCCTCCTGCTCCTCCCGCACCCGCGGCGGCGGCTGCAAACTTGCTGCGGCGGGCTGCGTGTGAAGGCACGGCCCGGCGGGGCGGCTCCGCTGCTCCCGCAGCCCCCGTCGTCGCGCCCGCAGCCCGGGGGGCGAGGCCGCCGCCCGCGGGCATGCGGCGCTGCCACCGCGCCCGTCGAGACACGGTGCGGAGCCGCGGGCGGCGGGGCTGCGCTTAGGGGCGGCCGGGGCGGGAGCCCCATGTCCGGGGCTCGCCGCGCTCCGCGGGCCGGCGGCGGGGCGATGAGCTGCCGGGGCGAGCGGGCGCGCCTGGCCCCCGGTTTGCCCTGCTCCCTCGCCCGTGGGGAGTGAGGCTCCGCGGAGCCCGCTCGGAGCTCCCGGAAGGGCGGGCAGGCGGGCGGGGAGGTGGTGCCGGCGCGGCGATGCTGCAGCCCTCCCCCGGCGCCGACGGGGTCCTGCCGGGGTAGCGGCCCCGCCGTGCCGCGCCGAGCCCCGCCGTCTGCGGGGGCGGCGGCCGCGGAGGGATGGAGCCGGCCGGCCCCTGCCGGGCGCAGTTGGGCTCCGCCAACGACTCTTACCGAAACTGTAGCGCCGAGGAAGTGATTTACCAAGATGCCACCCCTCTCTCCGGGAAGATCGTGCTCGCTGTCGTCCTGGCGCTGGTCACCCTGGCCACGGTGCTTTCCAACGCTTTTGTCATCGCCACGGTGTACCAGACGAGAAAACTCCACACGCCGGCCAACTATCTGATCGCCTCGTTGGCTGTCACCGACCTCCTCGTCTCCATCCTTGTCATGCCCATCAGCACTATGTACACTGTGACCGGCAGGTGGACGCTGGGTCAGATCGTCTGCGATATCTGGCTGTCCTCGGACATCACCTGTTGCACGGCGTCCATCCTGCACCTCTGTGTCATCGCCCTGGACCGCTACTGGGCGATCACCGACGCCGTCGAATACTCCACGAAACGGACTCCCAAGCGGGCAGCGGGTATGATCGCACTGGTATGGATCTTCTCCATCTGCATCTCCATGCCCCCTTTGTTTTGGCGGCAGGCGAAGGCCGAGGAAGTATCTAACTGTGTGGTGAACACGGACCACGTCCTGTACACCGTGTACTCCACAGTGGGAGCCTTCTACTTTCCCACTCTGCTGCTCATAGCCCTCTACGGGAGGATCTACGTGGAAGCCAGGTCGCGGATTTTGAAGCAGACGCCAAAGAAAGCAGGTAAAAGACTAACGCGGGCACAGTTAATTACAGACTCCCCGGGGTCGACCTCTTCCGTCACGTCCATAAACTCCAAGGCTCCCGAGGGGTCCAGCGAAACGGGCTCCCCCGTGTACATGAACCAGGTGAAGGTGAAGGTCTCGGACGCCCTGCTGGAGAAAAAGAAGCTGACGGCCGCTAGAGAGCGGAAAGCTACAAAGACTTTAGGGATTATTTTAGGAGCCTTCATCGTGTGTTGGCTGCCCTTTTTCATCATCAGCTTGGTGATGCCTATTTGCAAGGACGCTTGCTGGTTCCACATGGCCATCTTTGACTTTTTCACGTGGCTTGGATATCTCAACTCCCTCATCAACCCTGTCATCTATACTATGTCTAACGAAGACTTCAAACAAGCTTTCCACAAACTCATACGTTTCCGATGCACAGGCTGAAATGTTGAATGCGATGTGCTCCCCGGGGCAGCCCCCATGCACGCCTGCGCCCGGCGCCACAGGTAGGTTCGCGTACCCCGCCCTGCCCGGAGAGCCGCCGTGCTCTGGGGGGAGGCGAGGGGTTGGAAATGGGGGGGCGGGGGGGTGCCACCCCACAGAGAGCTGGTGTTCAGACCCTCCGCAAGTGGCGGCGAGCGCTGGGGATGCTGCGGGCTCCTGACATTTCACAATCTGTGTGTGCGCGCGTCGTGTGTGCCCCCCCCACCCGCAGATCGCAGGGAGTGACTCACGGCAATCTGCTTTTAATTCCACCTATTAAACCAATCTGCCGCCATTTCGTATGCTAATGCCCGTGTTTCGGCCAATTAGTGCTAAACGACACTGGCTTTCCAAGCCCGCCGCCGAGCTCCCCGGAGAGCGCCGGGCCGGGCCGGTCCCCGCCCGCGGCGGCGTCCCCGGTGCCGCCCCCGGCACCGCTGGGCAGCCGGGCGTGCAGCCCCCTTGGAAGGGAGTCGGTGCGGCCCCGGAATCAGCGGCTTGATGTTTTCGGTTGGTGTTTTCGGGGTTTTTTTGGCGAGGTAGGATAGGCCCCAGATGAAGGCTACTGACAAAGTCCAGCCCTACTACTTTCTGCCCTCCTCACGGCTCCGGCTGCTCCTGCGGGAGCAGAGCCGGCTGCCAGCAGGCGTCCCGAAGGGAAAGCTGTCCCTTAGCCCCCGTGGGAGACTGGACACCTCGGTGTGTCTCTTCACACGCGGAAGGGCTTTGCCTTTCCGCGACTCTTGACAGCAGTGGCTGCCTGCTCATCACTAAACTCAGCGCCACTTTCTGCAGAATGCATACATGCCTTTATTGTGATACTTTAATAATTCTGCCAATCTTTTGCTTTTTGTCTGCAGAATCAAGTTGCTATTGTAAAGACCCACTGCTTGAAACTTCCCCAAGCCCAGTTGCCAGACTCATGATGCTGCAAAAACGTCAATACATTCTGCCACCAAACTGCTCAGCTCTGCGTTTCAGTGTAATGACTCTGGCAGAGATGCTGTTCCAATAGGCACGCAGATCAGTTGCAAAAAAAAAAAAAAAAAGAAAAAAAAAAAAGAGGGCAGCCTCGAATCAAGGTCTATAATTCATCTGGAATGAAGAAAAAAAAGTTTGAGAGTAAACTCAATTTATTTTGCAGGCTTAACTTCTTAATTTGTTCTCCGGCCGGTTGTAGGGGTGTGCACAAGAGCACAGTTGTCTCTGTCTGTGTTGGTAGCATAGTTGTACTTCTGCACACCTGTAATTTCTTTCTTTCAGTGAGAAGAGTTGCTCCCTTCACCCATGAGGCCAAGAGGAGACAAACTCACATTTAAAATAGGAGCATCACAGTAAATTCTGTAAATGACTCCTTCGGCTGAACACGTGTGAGAAGTGACAGTGTGCAAAAGTTTTATATTTGTATTTCAAAACAATAGTAAATGCAAATGCTCTAGAAACAAGAATTGTAGACCTGTTCAACTGCACTGCATATATGTAGTCTGTCCTCATAGTTGCCTTTAAAAAGGAACTGCTTCTTGCTTTTGCTCCATAAGAGCAGAAATAAAGAAGTCCAATTACCTTTTCCATAAACCAGCTGGGAATAGGAGTAGCAGTTTGATGCTGTAACCATGTTTTCCATTTTGTGTCAGTTGCACACCCTTACCGCATGAACCACTGCAAAATTTAGGATTCTCTAAGTACTTAACATTATTTAATGTATTTTGTAAAGAAGTGAAGCAGTTTGCTCTTTTCAGAAGAGCTATTTCACCTGCAAAATAAATACCCATGAATCATGAATTAACTGATGTTAATGAAATTTCTTGCCTCCCTACTTCCCCCTTATGTTTTTTTTCAGTTTTTCTTTTCTTTTCTTTTTTTTCTTTTCTTTTTTTTTTCCTCCTGATTGGACCTTAAGACAGGTCTATGTGTATTCAGCAGAGTTTCAGGATATGGTCCACCTGCTGTGATAGAACTGCATTGATTGTTCCTCTTACGTGTAAATGAAAATGAGTATAAACAATAAAACGCTTGACTGTGTTCTCAAGAGTTGTAGCAATTGTGTGACTGAAAGGAGTTTTTATTGGTTTACCTTCTTTCTCAGTATTGACTTTTTAGGTAACACTGATTTGATGAGTCACTCAAGAAAGCAACTGATGAAGGTTGAAATTACAAGCTTCAATCGGTTGTCAGTTTTTAAACTGGCAGCTTTATTTTCATTGTAGCTAGTTCTGTTAGGTATAATTATTACTATTTTCATGTAATGTCAGAAAAAATGTTTGTTTTTTCCACAAATACTTTTCTTACTCCTTTAAAAGCAAACAAAACTTACTTTAGCATCTGGTGGATAGGGTAATCAATGTTCTTTTAAAGCTGTGTGTATGTATTCCAGATGGGGGTTGTTAAAAGACTGGAAAAATCTTATATTATTTACCTGCCTGCTATACTTCAGAGAGTTATTCAAGTAATAGGGACTTACTTACTTAACTGGATAGTACAGAATGTGCATGACCCTTTGAGCTTCTACTGGTCATAGGCAGGAGGAAGTCTGCAAGATACAAATTGAAGCAGTGGAAAATAAACATTTTCAGTAATTTGAAGAAATCCAAAAGAATTGCCTTGAAGTTGCATACCTCTAAAAAATGAACTGGTATACTATGGTTCTAGAAAGTACCTTTTTAAATTATGAAAGACAAATGGGGTAAGAGGAGTTTTCTAAAATGTTTTTTTTTTTTTAAATGCCTATAATAATTTTAAATATAAGGATTTTTTTTACATATGTGGTGTGAAAAAAAGCAAGGAAAGTAACATAAAACAATGCTTCACCAATTCTCATTTGTCATTTTTTGATCTTGTAGAATGAATTTTGTTTACACCAAATTATTTCTCACTAGGCTTCTTACACATATGAGAAATGGAAAATGAGATTCCAAGTGAGTATTCCAGTGTTTCCAGAGAGTTGAGCTTTCTGTCAGTTTTACAGAGTTAGGGGGCTTGGAGAGCAGGGAGGTTCAGGATTTGGACCTCTTGTTCCTCGCACTGTTGGAGTATACCTTCATCTTCAGCAATGGGCAGCAAATACTGCCAGCTCCCTGTTGCGATGTGAGGATTTTGCTGAGAAGCTAGTTCATCAGGAAAATGCCCTTCTGAGTTTATGCTGAGGCTCTGAGCTTTCTGCACAAGCAAACAGTTAGATAGCCATGCTGGCTCTTGGGAAGACAGTTGGAAGCTGCCCTGAGTGCCTTGGGGGCAGAGGAGAAGAGGCTGACTCAAGCCCTGCTGAGGTACCTGGTAGTTAAAGGCCTTGTGCTACTGGAGCAGCAGCATCTACTTCAGAAAACTGTTCACACAGGGGGACAGGGAGGGTGAGGACACACATTTTTTTTGTAGTGAAAGAGAAGAAATGTAGGACAAATGTTGCTCAGTGATGGAAAATATAAATACATAAAGCCTGTTCCAAGATTCATGTAGAGTGTTTTAGGGTGGGAAGAGTGTCCCGTGTGAGCATAGCATCTCTGTGACTGGCAGAGTGTGTCCTGGATGAACCTAGATTTTAAAAGATGCTCAGGGATGTGGTGGTAAAGTTTTGACTCTGTCTGAAGAGGTCTGAGAATTTTGCTGTCCTGCTTCTCCACTCCCTTGCTGTGCCTGGTCACTGCACTCTGCCTCTGGGAGGATGGAGCATCTGAATTTTTTAGTAGGTGAGGCTGTCCTTTCTGTCCACCTTATGTCTGTATTCCTGTGGAAATGGCTCAGGGAATCCTGCCTCTGGGTGTTTTCTCATGGGAGCCTCTTCATGACTCTGCAGGTAAACTCCAAAGGTGCCTAAACCCATTTTGTTCCAGTCTTTCATTACAGAAGCAGCATGCCTTTCTTTTATCTATTTCTTGCCTTGGGTTCAGACACTCAAATTATGCTTTTGATACAAATCTCTGCTGGGCACTGAGGTTTGAAGTTGAACACACACTTGCATACCTTGTTTCCTACCTTTCATGAAAGGGATATGTGTATGACAGTGTTGCTGACTCCAGGTGCTGTGAGACACATGACAGTTCAACAGTAGTTGCTATTGTGGGAGCAGCTGTTTGCAGCCTCATAGCTGCCCTATTTTCTTAGTAATCCTCAATTTTATTTAAGAGGCATTTCTCATTTTTCCAATTGTGAAATTCCAAATTAATAAAACACAGAATATTGAAATCAAGAGGGGAAATCTCTTGCAATAAACCTTCATATGGCCATGCAGCAGCCAACGAAGTTCTGCCTTTTCTGCATGAACAGGACGAAGAAAATGCCTTGACTAATGTGCCAAGTCTCCATGTGATAAAAGGGATTTCAACTAGATGTCCAGACATTTACACCATATTCCATGCTAAAGCATTTGAGGAGGCTGGCCTAGCCTTCAACCTCCAGCAGGGCTGTGTAGAGTAAGGACAATTCCATTTGGAGAAGCTGATTTCCACCCTCCGTTGCCCCTGCCTGCAAAAAGCCACTCTGCAGTCCATCAGAAGAACACTCCAAGTGCTTTCTGACTTGAAAATGCTGTCCCTGTGTTTCCTTGGTCAGTAAGGACTGGATATTGCCAGAAGTAAGCACTATTATATGAAAATCCAGATCAGTCTAAAGCTATTCTTTCTGGAAGCAAAGTGAAAATGACAAGTGGTAGTAACATTGGAGAGGAAACATTTGTAGCAGCAACTCAGGTTGAGCAATGTGGCTGACAGCAATTCTGCAGGCAAATAGTAAAATTCCATTTAAATTGAAAGGTAGCAGATATTGAAGAGCAGGTCTCTCCACCAAAGAGAGGCTGGAGCAAAGAAAGACTTTGAGGAAGTCATACAGAATCTCCAGGCCTCGACCAGAGTGTAAAGAAAAAACCAAGGTTACTAACTACTCCAATCTCATGACTGTGGGAGACAGGTGAGCTGGCAGTTTCATAAAGAAGAACCATGCCCAGACGCATGTAAGAAAATTACAGATGTTCAGATATGGAATGAAGTAGATGCCACTCTATTTTGTGTGGAGTTTGGTAACTTTTTTGTCA